ACACGCCACACTGCCTGCACGCGTGTTTAGGTGGGAGGGCTAACGACTTTGATCGGTGTGTCAAGCGGTCTAACCATCGCTATTCACCAGATTCGACACGTGGAAGTTAACCACGGCTCCATTTTATGTTTTCTTACAACATCATCCCTAAAAACCAATGTTACCCACATAAATCGTGTTTATCAAATGGTACATTTACAAACAGAACGATAAGGAGTTAGATTTCCACCAGATCATTAAAGGAGCTTTTCTCATTTCACATTTTTTACTGCCAAGCTGAAGACGGCACGTGGTAAAATCTCCAAACCCGCAGATGATTCTAAACAAGTAGCAAAATGTTAAGGCGTTTACAAGTTATAATGCAAATGCTAAAAGCATGAGAAAAGGTGTAGGAAAATGACAAACGAGACTGCACAGGGGAGCGCAGAGTACTAACTTGGAAGAAAAATAATCCAAAGCCAGACTTATGTCCTTAGTGAGGAAATTCTGGGTTTAATGTGCTGCTACAGCCCAAAAGATGTTCATGACTCTCAGGAAGGGGATTAATATAAAACAACTTAGAACCACCTCGATCTATATGTAAAACACTTAATTTGTCCCCACTTCTAATACTGAGAACAAATACAGTTCAGGTTATCACACCTTACAAAGGATAACAAAAGGAATTAAGAAGGGCTTATCTGGGCTACTTTTTAAAATACGAGGATTCACTCTCAAACTTTACATAACTTTAGCTATCAACAGCCAACCAGAACGTATAAAATCCTGAGGGTGTATGGAAATGTGAAAAGGATGAGATTCGTTTAGCTCATCCTGTAATGAGGAGCTCTCTGAAGTTTGGAGAACGTATACAAACAAAATACTACTATATATGAAAAGAAACAACCTCATTACCTCAAGATGTGGTGCTAGATAAAGATAGAAATAACTGAAACATGGTCCCTAATTAATAACACTGTCAAAGACAGTAGAAGGCTGGTTAAGATCCAAATCTAATGTAATATCAAAATAATACAAAAGATCTGTTTCTAGCAAACGACACAATGAAGTAATATTTTGTTCAAGGGCTGACACATCTAGCGAATTCTTCATCACTAAAGGCCGTTAGGTATAGCGTGGGTAATGAACCTAAAGATGATATGGATACAGAACATTGCATTCTCTGACTCAATTAACTTTCTGCAAAAGGAGGAGAGCACCGGGCTCACTCTCTCTGCTCCCCAAGGCCGCGTAACATTTTGCCCAAACCCAAAGACTCAGCACCTCGGCCTCGCGCTGGCGGCTTTGCCCTAACAGGCCAGGCTGCCACTTCAACGTTCAACTTTCCAGGGACTTCGCCCTCCTTACCACTGCAGCAATGACACTTTCGAGCTTCTTTATTTTTTTCTGCAACAAACCGAAGACTCTTATTGCAAATGGAAAGTGAGTTTCTTTTGAAGATGAACAGCAGGAGATGAGCACCGCCATAATCACATGAAAAGTCACTTTCTGCTTTAGGCTGAAGGACTCCTTTTCCCCAACGCTGACTAAATCCTCCACCTTGAAAAGTAAACGCACTCCATTACTGGCAGCTCTTCATCTGCACAGAACAATCTTCTCTGCTTTAGGCCGATCTAGATATTGTGTGTGTTCTACATTTAAAGTGATGACCAATATAAAGGCTTAAGAAGGTAAGAGGCACTAATTTCTAAGCAATTATAAAAATAGTAATTTCAGAAATTATAATGAACATATAACTGCACTTGCCAACTGACTGTTCTTAAATTAACAAACCTAATACGCTGTATTTACTACAGCAAAATAAATGTTCTCCTCCTTTAGATTATATTTTGTCGCTTTAACAAAAAATATGACTTCGCTATTGCCCTTACTGGGCCAATACAAAGCCACCATGAAAAAATTACGTAAAATATTAAGGACTTCAACAATCTGCAGAATACAGTAAACACTATGTATGTTTAAAGCAAAACAAAGGACTCAAGAATGCAAAAGTTATTAATAAGAAAACAAAAGCCTCTGGCACAGCAACACCAGGACTTTAAGATGACGAGCAGCGGACCCACAGGCAGACTGCGACAGCATACCTACCATCTTCAACATGCAGGAAGGGTCCCCCGAATTTATGTTGTCAGCCAACAATTCAACCATCTTCTGATTTGCTACACCTATCAGTTTTCCTGACTTTGTGCTTTTAATCACATTTTCAAGAACTGTAAAAAAAAAAAAATTTTAAACACAAGGCCCTTATGTCATCAACACTCACCTAAGAATCATGCAGAATAAGGAACTTAAGCAAAAATTTTGTAATTTTCCTATGAAGGTTTTCTTATTTTCCCTTTTATCCAATTTTGAATTTGTACATGGGTCAGCTTCCTTTTCATTGTATATTTTTTATCTTAGCTAAAGTTTTTAAAATTCTGCTGGTATGTAACATGACAGACATGATTCAAATAATAAGTATAGCCAATTGTTAAATATACTTGTCTTCTTTTTAAGGTGTTATCTGCTCATTTTTCCAAAAAGCAAGTGAATTTCTTACCTTCTTTCCATCCTCTAAGTACAGGGTGCAGAGAGCAAATTCCTGATTTTGATAAATAAATAGCAATTTTCATCTCGGCAGACTCCATATCGTCACTGTCGATGACCATGAACGGAAGCAGATGCACCACCACCTGATTTGATAACTCGGTGTTTCCACTCAGCACCTCTTCTTTAATTAGTATGTCTGCTGCAACCTCGAGGACCTTGTACCTAAAAGATATAAAAGCGCATCTGGTTCAGAAACATATGACTTGAATTCAGCAAAAACTCTTACGTTGTTCCAGCTCAGCTGACATTATCCTGGTCTCTTCACCAAACACACTGAGACGATCATTTAAAATCCATGCTAATAAAGGAGTTATTTGGGACAGTAATTTTAAACTGCTAACTTGGTCAGATCTTTTTTTTTTTTTTTTTTTTGAGAAATCGTTAGGTTAACTATAACGTAAAATACGTCACACTATATATCTTAACTAACCTGGAAATCAGAGATTCACTCGGAAATTCAAAAAATATCTGAACACTCACAATGTGCTAAGAATTAAATACGATAGATACAAAAACCTATAGGACATATCCTCTTCCTCCAAGGAGCTTAGTCATTTTTCCATGCAAAAAGCTTAGGTGCCAAAACTGAAATAACCAAAGCTTATCGAATACTTACTACGGAAAATATCATGCGTTTCTGAGCTTATTTTTCATTTAATATAATTTTAAATTATAAAGTAATATCCTTATAAAAACATATAGAATTATATAAAATAGAAAATGAAAGCTCCTTCCCATCCTACCTTCCGGATTTCAGTGTCACATCATGAATAATATACTTCTTTTTCCAAATTAAGAAAAATTTCAAACATAGATGATAGTATAATGGACCCACATAAACCCAAATGAATTCTCTTTACGGTGCAAGAGTGTTACGTTAAGACTCGTTTCACTCCATGACCAAAGTGTCACGTAACTAAAAAATAAGTTGCAAAAATGGAAAAGAAAAAAAAAAAATCACAATATAAAAATTTCACCAATTCAAAATATTATGAGAAATAATACATACCATTCCCTGTTTTTTGAAAGTTCTGCTCTTCGAAAGAGATTCAGAAGATGTGAAATGGTTACTTCTGAACTAAAGTGTTGTTTGAAAATCTAGAGGGGAAAAAAGTATCCTGAATAAAGTTTTACTCGCTTCAAATACATACAGTGCTTGTTAAATGAACTTTAAAAATTAATAAATTATAAAGAATTTATCTCCCAGGAATCCTAGTAAAATTTAAGTTTTATAAGATCAATTTCTCAAAATTGGCATTCAGGGGCCAATTTTCCATGACCCCAAGGTAAAATTCGCACAATATTTCCCCTTTTTGAAGAACTTCCCTATGTATAAAATTGCGCAATCTAATTACTCGCATGAGCTTTCCCCAACCAGACTTATGTCTGTACACTCAAGACAACAAATTTCCAATGAAAGAATAATTTTCAGATATATTCCTGCCTAGAGCAGAGGATCATGTGAGAAGGGCAAGAAAATATTTACCAAAAATGTGCATTTCAATGAACAACAAATTCACTCACCTCAAAAGCATTTATAGCTGACAAAACAACGTCTATACTATCATCTCCTAATCGGGTTAAAATAGCTTCTTTTATGAAAGACTCATCGACACTCTCCTGAGCAAGAGAAAAAAAATATTAACTTAGTTTTTGCTAAAACCTCGTCAGACTTTATAGTAGAAAGCAAGTTTTAAAAGCACTCCAGGACACCAGTCAAGGAAGCTAGACTCTGCCCAGAAGGCAAGTTCAAAGCACCTAAGCACATGCGCAATGAACTAGGTAATCTCTCCAGGGCATTTTCAGATGAGTTTGGTACAAATCTTTTCCAGTTTCCACTGAAGATATAATAGGTATAGTCCAAATATAAGTTTTGCATTAAGTTTATCTTATTAAAATGAGAGTACAGACGTTGAGAGTGTATAGACTGAAGAACCAGAATGTACATGCTTAAGTCCTGGCTGTGCCACTTACTAGCTATGTGACCTCAAGTAAGTTACTTAACCTTTCTGGGTCTCGCTATTCTCATCTATAAAACAGAACATAGTACCTGCCTCGAAGGGTTATTAAAGGATTAATTAACATGTGTCAGTGCTCAGGACAATGAATTGTAAAGAATTTATCTCCCAGGAATCCTAGGAAAATTTAAAGGTTTCTAAGATCAATTTTTATTGTTAAAAGTTAGATATTACTATCAAGATTTTTACAAGGATAAGGACATGCACTGAGAAGCCAGTCTGCCAAAAAAAAAAAGAAGGATGGGAAGAGCTGTGGGAATATTAGGAGATTCCAGGAATCTTCCTATTACGACGAAGACCAGTATTCAACGAGTATAATTATCCAACAAATAAATAAGGCAAACCTATCGGCAGTTTGCGAAAGAAACATTACTTATGTCAGATCAGAAATGAATCATATAGAACAATATTTTTCAAATTTGATTATATATAGACTAACCATTTAAAAAAAACACTCACAGATCCTAATGTTGCTTTTATCAATTTTAAAATTGAGACTTCTTAAAACAAAAAACAAAAAAATTAAAAATATTAAAAAAAAGTACAAGTCAAATATTAAAAAAATCTCACAAACCAGAAAATTCAAATTGAGATGAATTTAAGTAGTAACTGTGATTAGCTGAAATTAAATTCCACTTGTAATATGAGTCTGGTTTTAAGTGCCATGACACAAGTTCTCAAGTTCCGTTTATATTACCAAGTGCTAAGGAGAAAGTAAATTCTGCTACAACTTTTCTCTATTCCAGAAGTTTTCCAAAAATGCAAACAGTAGTACATGACATGATTTTAGATGTTATAAAGATAAAATTTCTATTTTAATCACAGTAACTGAAAATGTATATCCAATTAGCACTTCAAACCCAGATTTGAAGACTATGGAAAAAATGAGTCCATTTAAAAGAAGTCAAAGAAAATTTTTAAGTAAATAATATTAGTGGAAGCTAACATAGCAAAAACTGTGAAGGTACTGCTTGCATGACTAAAGTTTGGAAAATAATGCTCTAATCAGTGCAAAGTTTTTTTAAAATATCATTTTGGTATAAGGGCATAATTTACAAATTAAGTTGGCTTCTGTACTCACTTTTTGGCGTCATTAAAGTTTTAAACACAAACTATAGGTCCTGAAATCATGGAACAGTGCTCCAAAAGCTATCATTTTGATGTCTCCACATATGCTCATGTTAAACTTGACAATCAAAATCAAATTTCAAAAAAAAATCTCAAATGATTTGTGAACCTCTGTAAACTGATCTACAAATTTCAGTTTGAAAGACAGTGCACTAAAGTTAAACTGAAAATCTGCAATGTGAAAAGATGTAAAACAGTCGTTACTAGGGCACATGCAGGTTAAAACGGTGGCTATGGCATGTCCACCCTTGAATCTTTGTCCCATGTACTTTCATCGGCTTTACTCAGCTTATTTCTATAATTACACGCTATCAATTCTAGGTGGTAACTTCAAGGTCTTACTCTAGAATTACATATAAGAATAAAGACATCACAAATGAAAGCTACTTGACACAAACCTTTGATGTTTCCATGATACTTTTTAGGTGATTAACGGCCAGAAGTCTCACAGGGGCAAGTGGATGATTCAGACTGAGCATCAAGGAGGTATCAGAATCTGCTAAAAACTACAAGATTCATTACAATTACCAAATGATTTTACCGCTAAATCTCAGCAGTGCATAATCCAGAATAAAAACTGGAGAAAACCACCCCAACCTGCTCCACATAATCAATAACGACTATCTAATGTCAGAAACCCAAAAGTAAAACAATATCCATCTTGAGAACATAGTATGAGTTATAACAGATAAAAAAAAAAATCTGTATTGTTAATGCTGATTTTATGTACACTTGTGTCTATATGTAGATCTAATTTAGTGAATTCTATAAAGTAATTTGGTATTCTTTATGCATATCTGATTCCAAAGTGAAAAAGCACCAAAGATTATTACCATATTAGCATCTAAAAAAAATATAAATTTAAATAATGGATCACTGAAGACAGAATGCAATTCATCTAAATTACACAACAGTAACACTCAAATTAGTGACAACTTACTTCGCTTACATAATTAGACTAAGAAGAAAATCTGTATATCGAACTAAGATTTGGAAATGAAACATCATTGAAGAGGAAAGTCTAAATACGAAAGAGAAAAAACAAAATAGTCATATTTCTCTTTCTAATATTTGTCTTCAAGGCTAATTATAAGAACTGCTTAGATGTCAAACTTTTAGTACAAAGATTTAAAGTGAATCACCAGAAAATTTCTGAAGCTCTAACACGATAATGAGATAAAAATCCACCTCCTTTCTGTAACCAGCGATCTGCACAGCCACACGTCACTGGTGGAACCACACTGGGAAATGCGGACTTGGAAGAAAGATACAGGACACTAGAGACCTGAGTGAGGCCACCTTCAGTGACTGCTAATGACCATCATGTACAGAATTTCCAAACGATACTTCTGAAATAAGTACCTTCTCTGCAGTTACTTAAATTCCTGTACTTTTTTCCAATTATTTAATTTCCTGCTTCACAGCCTTACCTGCAGGTAACCAGGCAAACCATGAAATCTCATCTCTCCATGAAACTTTCCAAAGAGAGGAGTAGAATAGCAAAGTACCTTCCGGAGTGCTTCAATAACCACAAATATAAGCCTAATTGTCATAATTTCTCTGAAGAAAAACTTACCTGATATTTTCCTCCACTTGTAGAAAGAGAGATAAATTGGTGGAAAAGTTCTTGTTTTTTTTGGTCTGTAATTTCCTTTAGGCGTTCCTCTAAGACGACATCTAATGTCCTGGGATACCTGGGAAGAAATTAAAGAGTCAACTCATTTTTCCTCATAAAGCTATTAACCACACACCGCCTACATGTATGAAAGAAAGAAGTAAAATTTTAAAAAATCACTGGGATTGAGACTTAAAATATCAACAAATGGAATATGTAAAACCAAATGAAACTGATGAATTTTGTTACTATGACTGTTACAACAACAAGTCTCTCTATAAAAAATTATACTCTCCACAGTCCCCATCCAACCCCAATTCTCTGTTGTATTTCAAATATATTTAAAACCTACATCTGTCCCTTCCTTCAGGGGGGGAAAAAAAGGCTGGTCTCTTTATAATTCATTTACTATATTAAGTTATGACTTATAAAACTTTCTCTTACAAAACCATCTCTTTATAAAACAAGAGGTACACATTAACAAAACAAAGGCACAAACACACACAACTTACTTGCTTTCTAAAAGTCTGATAAGTGGAAGAAACTGTTCATTAAGCAAAGATATTTTATTAGGATCGATTTCTTCCTGTGAAGTATATGAAATATACTCTTCAAAAAGGAGGCTGCAAAACAAAACAGTTATCAGCAGATGTGAAAGTTACTGCTTACAGAATATCGATCATGTTCCAGGTGCTTCAGGATATGACCTCTAGGTGTCATACCTCTACAAGGTAGAAATTACACTTACTTCAGACACAAAACTAGGGCTACGAAGTCTTACAATTTGCCTGGTGAGCCCTGCTGTGCCAGGGATTTTAGCCCCGGCCTGATACCAGAGCCCAAGCTCTCAACTACTTCATGTGTATAGTCCCATTTCACTCACTGTGAGCAAGGGGCACGAATGACACACCAGCAGACAGGCACCCACCAACGTCACACAGTGGAACCCAGACGGAGGCAGTCCGGCCTTCAGAACTTCCTACTCTACTCTCCGGAAATGACAGAGGCAGGTTCAAACCCGCGTCTGACTGCAATACCTACAGTCTTTGCACTGTATCGAGTTGCCCTTTAAGAAAATGGGGCAATAAACCATTTTTACAGAAAAGGAAGAAATAACTTTTACTTCATGCCAACCTTCAACGCGAAGATTCTAACTGGTATTTACTCTGAACACTAACTTATGTACTGTCAGGCATTATGGTCCTTTTATTATTAGGCAACTCTGAACAGCCACATATTACATGCAGCTGTAACCCAAATTTTGCTTAGCTATTAACTTTCCATGATTATGTATAAGCACTAAAGACAAGCAAGAGAAATTACTTTTTCTCTGTTGCCACAATTACTGGACTAAGTACTTATAATTAATGAAATGATATGGACAAAAAAAGAAATACATTACAAAGGGTACTGGGAAACTGCTAATCAACCCGGAAAATGATACTAAGCCACAAAAACACAAATCGAAAGCATGACCAAAACAGCAGCTTACCTAGCCAACAGATGGTCTAAGTTGTCCTTCAGTGATATATCCGTAAGTATGGCTTCTAAGTGTTTCCTGTAGATTTGGCCATCCATTCCTTCAGTTTCTTCTCCTTAGTTTACAAATTAAAATGGTTTTTGTTTGCTGACACTATTCAATTTACTTATAGCAGAAAATGTACAGAAGTAACTTTAAAACATATACTTTGATACACTATTTTCAAAGTGTATTTCACTTAGTCATATTTTCAAAGCACTTTTACATATACTACCCTCATTTATCCTTACCTGAAATTATATTATTATTATTATTAATTTTATTTTTTTTTTAGGCAAGGCAATCCTTGATTGACCTCACCGATTGCAAGGTCCTTGTCAGCTTACAATCCCTTATTTTTTATTTTTTATGCCTACAGCACCTGGTCTTCCTAGGTGGTCTCCCATCCAAGTACTAACCAGGCGCGACCTGCTTAGCTTCCGAGATCAGACGGGATCGGGCTTGTTCAGGGTGGCATGGCCGCAGACTCTTTGTATTTTTAAAAACAAGTATGATCACGCCTATTTCATTAATGAAATAGAGGTCCAAAAACATAGTTTTTCCCCAGGTCGCATTACAGCTGGGACCAGAACCAAGATCTCATTAAACTATGGCTGTCCCCACTTATCTATGGGAACACAGTCCAAGACCCTCAGTGGGTGCCTGGAATGACAGATGGCACCGACCCCTGGGCCAGGGGCTAGTACCCATCCGTAGCCTGTCAGAAACTGGGCCGCACAGCAGGAGGTGAGTGAGCGAAGCTTCATCTGTATCTGCAGCTGCTCCCCAGCACTAGCATCACCGCCTCAGCCCCACCTCAGATCATCAGGCATTAGGTTCTCATAGGAGAACCGGTCCCTGGTGCCAAAAAGGTTGGGGACCACTGCTATCTAGGCTTTTTCCCTTTACATAGATACCTATGATAAAGTTTAATCTATAAAACAGGCAAAGAGCTTAACAATAACTGATAGTAAAATTAATTATGTGACTGTGGTCTCTCGAAATATCTTATTGTACTGTAATCACCCTTCCTCCTGTGATGATGTGAAATGATAAAATGCCTTCAGTCAAGAACTTTCACCTTTTCACTTACAGGAAGCACTTTATGGCCTCTCTTCGGCACATTCGAATGCCCAGCATCACCACTCTTGCGCTTTGGGATCATTATTAAGTGAAATAAGAGTGACTTGAACACAACCACTGTGATACCGCAGCAGTCGATCTGATAACCAAGAGGCTCAGTGACTAACAGGCGGGTTAGTGGATGCGGCATGGAGACGCTGGACAGAGGGATGATTCCCGTTCCAGGAGGGACAGAGCAAGATTTCGTTACGCTCCTCAGAACCACACACAATTTAAAACTCATGAATTGTTCATTTCTGTAATTTTCCATTTAATATTTTTGGACTACAGTTGACCACAGGTAACAAGAACCATGAAACTGTATCTCCTAAAACAGGCTAAACTATCATCTCAATACTCCCTTGCTGGACCAAGGGCTGTCATCTTCTATTTCACATTCACCATAAATGTAAGAACTGGATGTTAGACTTGCTTTCAAAGACTGGATCACATTACTCACCACCTTCAGAATACGAAAAATACACTTTCATTCATGCTAGTCATGTTTCTAAAGCACACTTAAACCAAGATTTGGTTAAGCAAACCTTATACTCCAATGGACTGAAATAATTTTAAAGATGCCTTTCTTAGTATGTCTTTCCTAGTCCAAGTTGCGATAGGACCAAGTATTTCTTCCTTACCTTTCTGTATTTATTGAAGAGTTAAAAACATGTAATGCAAATAATCGCTTTCTAAAAAACTGTAGGTTTTTAAAAAAGTTTTGGATTTTTATGCATGAGATTTTTTTTGTCTTATATTTTCAGTGATGCAAAAGAGAAAAACTTGTTGGCAACTGGATATTTTGAAAAAAAATCACTAAAGTTCATTAAATATCTAAATGAGAAAGGGCAAGTTTTAAGTAAAATATTTTAGTTATTTTAAAATAATTATAGTCTTTTTCATGTAGAGACTCTTTAAGAATATTCATTTTTTAAAAACCAGAATTCTGAGCATATCACTAAATTAATGAGGATCTCTCTTCAGCTAACCTGCTCCCCACCCCAAATATTTCTCACAGAAGTAGACAAATTACGCAAAAACAATTAGTTAGTAGAAACTTTAAATATCGTAAAGATATTAACAAGGTCTAGTTCCTACTTTAAGAGACGCAAACCTTACAAAGTACGTTTCTAATGTAAGTGTAAAACTGCGCACCTGTAACGTGGCTGATGACAGAGCCAATCAGATGGGGAAGCAGGTACCGCAGCAGAGGACTGATGTCGTATGTTTCGGAAATCCCGCGAAGTATGGCAATGAGATCCGGAACATCACACAAGTGAGGAAACGGCCTTTGAATAAACAAGTACGTAAGATGTTGACTTTACAAGTTAGACAATAAATGGCAATTGAAAAAACAGTATAAAATTTCTCTTCGAAAAAATTATTCAAAATAATTTAATTCACCTCTAAATTATCATTTCTCAATTCAACTGTACGTACTTTTTCCCAAGGCTGTCTGGCTTCTGTCTCTGCAAGAGCACTATCAAGCAACCTAATCCATCCTTGATCAAAGTAGGAGTTTTGGTCAATGTTTTGATAATCTGTGAAGCCAGCGAATTAACGAAAGTCTCTTCCATTGTCACTTTCACAGAAATCTGACATATTATCATGTACGTTGCAGCTTTGTAATCTGGTAAAGATGATTTCAATCCCTAAATATTTTTTTAAAATATAAAGAAAAATAATGAACTATATTATTTTACTCTACTTAAAATGTTATACTTTACTTGACAAATGCCATAAATTAGAGATTAGTACTACCTAAGGCACCCTCCTCAGAAGTGAAAAATCAAGATGCTGACTCCCTTTCCGGAGTGGACAGAGAGAGGAGACAAGTCTCTTGGAGGAGGGAAGGGCTCCCAGAGGGCCTCCCCACTCACACATCCTACACACGTCCTACCAGGAGCGAATGAGCTCTCCCTTCACATACGAACTTCCCCCCATGTGAGAGACTTCAATCAGAAACGCGACAGTGTCTGATGAAAGGCCTTGGACAGTGGTGGGAAGTGAAAGCATTGTCTCCACAAGGACCCGGGAAGGGGCCGGCACCAAGGCAGCTGAGGAGAAGGAACACTGAGAAGCAGAGGTCAGTGCAAAAATGACAAGAGCCTATGCCTCGAAGAGACTTTCTCATCCATTCTTTTTCCAGTGAGGTAACATGGCTGCTAAGGACACAGCCTGGGAGCGAAGACGACCTGTGAAGACAGGCAGAAACTGGAGGTGTGCTGCCACAGGGCAAGGAGCACCAAGGACTGCCGGCCCCAGAAGCTGGGAGAGAGGCCCGGAATTCTTCCTCAGAGGCCCCGGGAGGAACCAGCCCTGTCCACACCTTGATTTCAGACTTCTAACCTCTAGAACTGAGAGAGAATTTCTGTTGTCTTAAGCCAAAAAAAAAAAAAAAAAATCTATCTGTATCTATATATAGATACCCACCTATTAACATATATGCGTAGATATAAATACGCACACTGATATATATCTGGGAGACAGCGGCAGGGCCAAATAGCCAACGTTTATTCTTTAAGGAGCCCTAATTAAGATGCTACTGTGCTGTTTTTAAAACAAAAGTCATACTTTTTACCTAAATCTCATCAACCATCTGAAATAAATCATCAATTTTAGAACATTTACGTCTAAGTTAAGTTTTTAAAAGCAAGAACATTCCTTCAAGGACAAAATAATCTTCACACTGGAGCAGAGCCAACCTTCTGGATATATGGAAACAGCTTGGCAACTATGCTGTCTGATATGTCCTCGGCGGTCACCAGAGCAGACACGATGGTAGAAGCATAAAAAGTTAAGAGCACCCTCAACTGAGCTGAACTCCCAGGATACTCGGCAAAAACCTGGAACAGACGACACACACAAAACATATTGAAGAGTGAAAGGCCAATTCGGTAAAAGTATAAAAATATTTATAGCTCTCAACTACTTAAGGCTGACATTTTCATTTTTACCATATACAACAGTAAATACACAAATTCAGTGAATCGATTAAATGTGACAAGAATGAACGATCTTCCTAACATTTTCTGGTCGTGTCTTTAAACAGTCACTATAAGTAGAATCTGGCAAGGAATAATTCATTTTTGTAGAAAAGCGCCTTCGGTGATGAAAGACCGATCCCACAGCTCAGCCTTGAACAGCAGGTCATTTAGCAAAAGTACCCGTGTTCCTCGGAAGGCCTCGGCATGTTTTCTGTACTCGGAGCAAGCCAGCTTTTAATGGAATTACGGTCATGAAACAGTATACTACTCACCTTCACAGACTTCGTTACCAGACTACAAATGAAATCCATGAAGCCGAGGTCTTTGTAGCAGTGGGTAACCAAAGTTCCTTTAGCTAAGGGCACTCCCGATTGCTGTTACAGACAGAACCAACTATTACTAAGGACAGTCATCAACTGATCATTATTTTTAAAGTAACTACCATAGTTACAGCTCTATAATGCTGCATGGTTCACAAACCCAAAACACAGTATCTCCTTATAACTAGTGGCAGAGATCAGAGTAACAACTAAAGTTGTACAAACTTCAGAAATTTAAGAAAAGGTCAGCAATGAGGGTAAAGATACTCAGTAAAAAATGATTACTTATTACATGTTGAGTTGCATTTTGACACATTTATCTCAACCTGGATCCTCTAGATTCTTAGCAACTCTACTGGTTAGACTTAAGTATTTCCCGCTTCTCTTCATTTCTGACTTTTCAAAAGCTCTTTAGTTCCAAAATTTAAAATGCCAGACAGGATGGAACAGTAGGAAGACATAAGCTTTAAAAGTAGATCTGGATTCAAATCCCAACTCTGCCACTTTACATGAACTCTGGCAAGTAAATTAATTCTCTAAGCCTGTCCTCATCTGTAAAAATGGAGTTTTGTGAGAACCCAAGATAATATATGTAAATTGCCTAGCCTGATATCGGGTGCTAATAACAGCCAGCTGTTATTATACTACTTTCAACTGGAAGTTAGGAAATAACTGGGGGGTGATACTTCGGGCACTAACGACACTATTTTTCTAAAGTACATCTCTTAACCAAGATTTGTAATAATTATAGATAATGTGTCATTCAACAATACCTTAACTGGCAACAACCAGAACCACTTGTTCTTTGAATTATTAATTTTCAGAAGCTGTATAACCCGCACAAATATTCTCGTCTCGTGGTATGGCAGGACACAAGCAATGAGACTATCTGGATTATAAAGGTGGATGTGGAACCTGAGGAAAAAGCGAACAATTCAAACTGACACAAAATTTACAGGTCCATCTTTTACATGTCCAAATCATGTTACCAAAGAGCTAAAACTACTTGTAATGAATAAGAGTAAAACCAACCACATAACTATAAGCAAGATACAAAGCACTTAAACATAAGCCCTGTACTTTCTTTGAAAGTACTCCTCAGCAGGGTTCTGCCAGTTCTTATGCAGTAATATTTAATATTTGATATCAAAATTTATATCTCATTTACTTTCAACTTTTTTTAATCTATTATTAATATAACTGTGGGATCACTGCAGTCAAACCAACAAAGACGCAATCAGTCAACTAGGCAGCAATGCGCAGCTTCTCTCCAAGCCCGAAGTTCACTTTCCATAGCTTTCCCGGCTTCCCTAATTATAATTCTAAAACCAAAAGACTAATTAAAAAGAAACCTCATTACTTTCTTTGAATTAAAAAAAATTATCAAATTACAACCCTACACAACTTGTCCACGAACTTCACAAAACTTTGTATTCGTCCCTGCACCTAAATAATAGGACACAGGTTTATGAATTCTGTGAAGATGCATGAAATCCTTTCTAGCCTTCCAGTTCTAGCTCAAACGCTTTCCAACATGCTTTTCCTAATTCTCCCAGCCACGTGATCCCTCTTCTGCCTGTCCATTCTCCCATTCTTTCACCTGTATCTTTCTTAAAGTTGCACACCACTCTGCCTTTTGCTAGTTTCACATACGGCTTTAGTACTAGCTGAGACGTTACCTTCTCCAGGAAGCTTTCAACTACTTCAGGCAGCAGTAAGTGTCTGTCCCCCATTCTGCAGACACCTTTACTGTAGCATTTATGTCAAAACAGTAACCAAGGGCAACCTACTCATCCTTGTATCAAACTTAATGTTACATAAATAAATAAATGCAGAACTAAATACAGAAAGTGCTCCTATAGTAGTTGATTTAGGGAAATTAAATGCTAGAAGACAGAGGAAAACATTACGGACTTGATTTTTTTTTTGTCTGATGAGTCTAATGTGCTGATAATCAGAAGACCCCAAATTATTTTCTCGATGACTCCTTTGCTTCCTGAAGCAAAGTCACTTTACTACCATGCCTCCAATTAATAAAATGGAACTTTCTCTACTCTTAAAACATATATATGGGAGAATAAACAAAAATGTGATTTTTAAGCTGTGATTGACACTAGTAAGTGAGAAAATAAACTGAGTGAACTGAGACAATTCCCGGTGGATAAAAGATCAGACTTTAGAAACAAACTTGTATCTCAGAGACTTAGGAAACTTAACCCCTCTACACCTCCATTTTCTGTTATAAAACGGGGATAATACAAGTCCCTCCCATAGGAATGTTGTGAGCGCTGAGATAATGTACACGAAGTGCTTACCATGGGCTCGGTGGATAAATGTTCAACACATATTAGCTACACGGTTTTTCTAAAGTTACAGTATTTTAGAGGATACTAGTACCCTCTTCCCGAACCACCGATTTGTTATTTTGGCAAGAAAGTTTAGTAATGCCCTTTGCGCCAAATATGCAGTAACAATTTGTAATAGCAAAATGACATGCGCTCCTCAGAATTAATGAGGCTCGACCTTGAGATCTTCAGTAGTTCTACTTCTCAGGATCAACAAAAATGAGTGTAACAGGAGGGCACACTCAGCTCACCCGCATCACGTTTGCCTTACCTCATCTCCAGACATCATGCTAATGTCCTACTTACAAAATTTTTCAACTTTAAATTGGTAAATGCTGTCATTATTTAATTTTTTAAAAGATCAAAATTGTTAGCCCATAATTATTTCTGTAATCTCATTTGATACCTGTGG